CTACTCCTACTCCTACTCCTCCTACTGCTGCTGCTGCTGCTGTTGCTGTTGCTGCTGCTGCTGCTGCTGCTAGAACTGCAGTTCTTCATCGAAAGCCGAACAATGAGTGCTCCTTGGTGTAGGGTTCAGAGTTCGGGCTTCGGGTTTAGGTGCTCTCAGCAGTTTTGTGGCTTTGTCTGTGCGCATGCCGGGGCTTCGTGAGTCCAGGTTCCCTGCGGGCCTTACGATTTAAGTCGCTACAGAGCTGTGGAAACACACATGAGACCTTGACACTCGTAACAACATGTGGCTAGAGGTGTGATATTCGCATACTCACCTACCATCGACATGGAAGGAACACCAATAGTGAAAGAGCCACAACAATGCCTAGGCCTGGCCGTGGCAGTCTCTCGTCAAGCTAAGCTTTGGTGCTTCAGGTTGTTTGGCTTCTCTGGGTGCAAAACTCTTGGAGACTTGAGATGTGAGAAAGGCCTGAAGGGAACCAGTCGAGCACGAAATCCCGCAGGTTCTGGCGGATGCCCGGCCACCCGATCAAGATATCAAGAGTCCAACAGGCTCAATTGTGGAAGCTGCAACCACGGGCCGGAAATCAACCAGATTTTCCTTGCATGCTTGGAGATCACTGCTGAGCCGACAACTACAGAGGCATGCTCTGGGGCCGATTGAAAGAGAAGAGTAGCTGCTTCAGCGACACTGTCATGTCGAAAGTCCGCTTCCGAAACGATGCTGGGCCATGTCGTGGGTTCTGATAAGGAGGCGTCCCTTTGTCGGGATCCTTGGAACAAAGATCCTACTTCCTGGTCTCTCTTGAGGTCCCTGTTGGCCCTAGTATATTCGAAACCTCCCATATTGTGAGGAGAACCTGTCCGCCTGGCTGTAAAACTTGTGGCAGCTTTTTGAGTACTGCATTCCTTATGGCAATGCTGAGACTCACCTTTAAAGTATCCTCAAGTCTTCAAGCTTATGCAGGCCTCCACAGCATGCCTGACGCTTTAGCCGAGACCAGCGCTGGCCGGTGGCTCTCACCAACTGGCTGGGTGCCGGTTCCATAAATTATAGGATTTAGGGTTGAGGCGCTTAGGGTTGCTCGGAAACTTGGAAGCTCAAGCCTACTCGCCGGGTCACTGCAACCAGTTGGGCTGACTTTGAAAGGGCCGCCGCGACGAGAGTCGAGCTCTTGTCCGAAACACTAGGCTTTTCGACTTTCTGTCCGAGGCGTTCCAAGGGGAACCGTTTTTCGGACTGCAAACTCAGACTCACTTACATCTTGCGTCGATGCGCAAGCCGATGGCGCGAAAGGAACTGTTCACAGACATGTACAAGAGGGCACACTTGGCTACATCACAGATTCAAGCGACACTACAGCTGACGCAGGCAGGTTGCTAAGGAAGTTTCACGCTAAGGACTCTAAAGTCTAGACTCAGCTAGGCTAGCATCTAAGGGTTCACGAGGGAGCATGCCTGCCAGCAGCGATATAAATGAATAACGGACGGGCACAAATTAACAGAGCTGGCAGCGCAGCATAACTTGGCATTCTCAAGGCGAGGCACTGCTATTTTACAGGACAGTCAAGTATGGCAGGGATTGCGTCGAACCGTCTCGTGTGTCTCCGCAACTTCATGCGCGCACGTTCCAAAACAAATCTCTACACTAGCAAGGCGTACGAGCGCATCTTAGTACCAATCCCTGCCATACCGGCCCCATCCTCTGCCGGCCCGGTATCCAAGATCACCGCCTGAGCCAAAGGCACGAGACTCTACCGCCCGATAGTGCAGATTGTCCCTTGTCCCTCCGACCTGTGTCGCGAGCACGGCGAGAGTAGCCCCAGCCCTGAGGACATGCCACTGAAAGGGCGCAGGGCCCTGTCTGCAAAAGGCTTAGTAGCTGTCGCTGTTCACAAGCACTGTACTTTGGTCAGCGGACTGGTCGCGAACCATCTGCGCTCACCCGCAAAGCCCACCTCATCCATGTCTTGCCCTCGGCGGCGCCAGGAGTCATCCTCGGAGAAAGCAAAGGCAATCCTTGCATTCGAGTTGAGGTCCTCATCAAGCATCACCATCATCATACGCATCACGATCGTTCTCCTCCTGCGGCGGTGGGACAAGAAGCATCTTTTCGGAAGTACTGGTGATAGGACTTTGCTTTTGAAAGGCGGTGCAGGATTGCCTACGTGCCGAATGGAGACGGTTGGCGGATGTAGGAGAGTGGAGATGCTCAGAGCCCTGGCTTTTTGGTGGGCTCGGCGCCCGACCATATCAGCGCGGCTTGGCCAATAGGAGGCATCGTACGAGGCGTCGTACCTCGGTTCAGCTGCAGTGCACAAGCTTTTGCAGGATCACAAACAGCTCAACAAGTGGCAAGTACGGGGAAAGGACCATTAGATCTAGGGTCTGAGTTGCGATCGTTCATCTGTGGCATCACTTCCGACAACGAAGACACGCAAGGCTCCATTGATCTGAAGCTAAGCAAAGAGTGTCCCTACCCCTGGCATGCTAAAATGTGCAGGACCTGCACATGAATTAAACTACCGGCTGAAGTGATTTCAGCTTTCTGCGGCTGGTCAGAAATCCATGCGAAGGCTCTCGGAGCAACCCAAATCCAACCACCACGGATCCGCCTTGCAACTGTAAACTGTAAGCCATGGAGTTGTGGCACATGACCGCAGCTTTTTTGAGGCCAGTACCCGGCATAGCCCCAGTCGCCCCAAGCTTCGACGTGCCAGGTCTTCAGGGCGAAAGTCGGCAAAGGAGCTCCGACTTGCTATCTGAAACTGTTGGAATCTGTAGTACAGGTGACACGCTGAGTGGATCTTCCAGAACCCACCCTGATCTGCCAACCAACACCGCCTGCTGCGGAGCTGGCTTGTTGAAGGACTTCTCGAACTTTGTCGTCTGGATGCACGGTTGGCTTTCGGGCTGGGATTTGCGATTGTCGGGCCCAGCACAGGTTCTTACTGTGACCATGGGTGACCAGGGTTGCTCGGCTCCGCGATCGCACACAAAGCGCAGCCCTTCCTATTATATGCCAGCTTGCACGAAACTGAAACCACAGAGATACACCCACAGCCTCGACAACGGGCTTCACCGGCGGCTGAACATGGACCTGCTGCTGACCCAGTTGATTGTGTGTCTCTGGCTGAGGGAAGTACATGACTACACGGATAATCATAATTAGAACTGCAATCCGGGATACTACTTGCACCCTGCCTTCTCAATACATGCGACATCACGGTTCTGGAAAGAGTTGGACGTGCTGCCCGCCAAGACGGCATGCAAACACACGGGCTTTTGAGTCATAAGCCGGACCGCTGCACTACTCCCAAGCCCGACTTGTCTTGAAAGCACGAAGGATCAATCGTTAACTAAACACATATATATGTATGTATATATATATATATACATATATATATATATACATATATGAAACACACATACAAATACACGCACGCATCCACATCCACACGCACACACATGCACATCCACATCCAAATACACATACAGATACACACACACACATATACATGTGCGTGTAAATGTATGCATACAAAAACATGTACATGTACGTGCACACATTACATTGCACTATATATATATATTGCAAACGTATTTGTGCTCTATAATCGTACAAGGGTTTCTTTGCGTACATTGTCAAGACACATGCGCATTGACATAAATAGGAAGATAGACAGGTAGGCAGATGGATAGATAGACAGACAGACAGACAGACAGATAGGGACAGCTCGCTGGATAGATAGATGCAATTTTTGTTGTAAAAGATGAATGCATACATAGGTCTCCATCTCTCTGACACAGCCATGTCATCTTGTCCTTCGTCTCCGCTGTGACGGGGAACTTGGGGCGACGTCCCCCACGCGGTCCTAGCCTGAGGACAAAACCCACGTGGAGATGCAAAGTGCTCGATGGGAGCCCTGCTACGAAAACCGAAACTGACAGCGAAAAGCGACAATCCGAGGAGGGAGCTGCCTGCGCTCGGCGAGCATCTCGTCAGGGGCATTCGTGCGGGAGCCTGGCGATTGCAGATGGGATTTGGGGGCCTTGGACTTCCTCCCAAGTGTTTGAGGCCACTGCTTAAGGCTTAAGCTGTAGAAAGGTCTCAGTGTCGTGCGACACCCCCAAATCCTATTCTAATTGTTAAGGCCCCTATGTTACCCATGAAGCTTTAACACCTTCCATTCAAAGGCCAGGCGCCCGCCCGGTCTTGTCTTGTGCTACAGGGACTTTTGTGTCACAGGTAGTCTTTCTACGGAAAGTAACCTCCTCTAAACCTAACTGCCACGGAAGCCTCAACGTTCAGACATAGTATCCCTGTTTGTAGTGTCACCATGCACCTCTGGAGAGCTCAACCCAAACGACTTCGCAGATGAGCTTGAGACTTTCCAGGGGCGGAGACAGCTACTAAACATATTATAGGGGAAAAAATATTTGTTCCCCTATAATATGTTTAGAGTTTTCCGGTTTTGCAGCTTAGAGCCGATAGACTCAGCCCCAAGAGCCCCCGAGCCTGAGTCGGATTCGTAGAGTTCCTCATCGAAGGTGTCCTCCACCTGGCTCTCAAAAGGGCTTCGGGGTTTTTGCGCCTGTTCGGGGTTCGGGTTTCGGGTTCGGGAAGAAGGAAGGCTTCCATGTGTCACGCAAATTCTCAAAGGCTGTGAGCCATCACCCCAAGTCGACAAAGCACTGAAGCCTGGCAACCCACAAGCCCACAAGCTCCGGCACGGGAAAACGGCGAACACCGAACCTCGATGTCCGCCCAACGGGATCTGCTTGGGAGGAGGTCCTTCAAGATGGGGGCCTTGGACTCCTGGCACTTGGGGGTTTCCGAAAATAGGGGTTACCTTATTTGGGGGTCCTTATAATAGGGATCCTACTATTTGGGGTACTATATTGGGGTCCCCTATTTTTGGGAACCCCCACTTCGCATCCGACGAATCACGCCCGGCAGATCACTTTGACCAGAGCCTCCGAAGACGTTGTGCGGCTTTTGCTCACATCGTTCTCCTGCTTCGGGAGCTTATAGTGACAGGGACGGGGTCGTGTGATTCCGAACGGTGCTTCCTCAACCAAACAGAACGGAAGCGACCCTATTCAGTGAAGGTGGCCTATTCGCTTAAGATGATCTTCGATGCCGGTAACACAGAATGTACAGCGACCACACGGTGGCTGCTACCACAACGATCTCACAACTGCAGCTTTGATCGGGAAGACAGGCTGCTTGCTGCGAGCAGACTAGCCACCTGGACTTGTCCGTTGGCGAAGTTCTGTGTGGCCTCGGATGGCAGACTCCGCTAGGGACTGAGGCCTACATCGCAGGAAATCTCCCTTCTGACGCCGAGCCTTACGAGCCTTAGGAGCCCAGAGCAGTTTGGTCTGGGGGCCACTAGGTCACTGGTTTTACTCTGGCATTGGAGCGACCTAAGGTATCTTCAAGATGCTTCAAGACGGACCCAACCTGGAAGCTACGTTCAGCAAGTCCATACCTCGAGCGAGGCTTGAAACTCCGTTTCCTCCAGGCTAAGTTCCCAGCTCCCCAGGTGTTGGCCTTTCCGGCTGGTCTCGTAGGCACTTGTCATGGTTTTTGCTCGCCATTCCACTCCACATCTTCATGGGAACCCTCCCCACTTCACACCTCTCTCCACCGTATCCGACGCCACCAGCACATCCTCTAGGCATGCATACATACACACATACATACACACATACATACACACATACATACGCACAGAGCGAGAGAGAGAGAGAGAGAGATGTGTGTGTGTGTGTGTAAATATATATATATATATATATAGATATATATATATATATGTATACATATATATGTGTCTTAAGTACTTATCTACGCAACAGTACTGAAACAAAGAACGGCCGAAGCCCTGGGCCTCACTGGCATCCTGGCAACGGCTGGCCTCAAGGAGCTGGAGAGTCAAGCGGAGGTGCAGGGTATTTGAGCTTCAAGCTTTTGGGGTCCTTTTTGTTGTGTTTGGGGCTTTAGGGTATGAAGGGTTGTTGGGGATCTTCCGGCTTTGGGGTCCGGAGTGTGGGGTTCAGGCTTAGGGTCTGGGGTTTGTAGTAGTTGTAGGGTATTGCTGTGTATTGCCATGACCATTATGAGCCTGTGGTTTGAAGATGTGCGGCTTGAGTTTTGTTTGTGTTTGTCATATTTGGGCTTGGGGTGGGTTAGGACGGTTAGGATTTCCGTGTTGAGAGTCTCGGGGTTGGGGAGCTGACCAGACAGTCAGAAGTCCTTTAGGGAGTTGGAGTTGTCTCTGTATGTGTTCAAGTGTGTTGTAACACTTACTGTAACTCTATATATATATATATATGTATATATATATATATGTACTATATATAATATATGTATATATACATACATATATATATATATATATATGACATATATATATATATATATATATCTCTTTCTCTCTCTCTCTCTCTCTCTCCTTGACTGCACATAGGCAATTCCAATGAGCTCCTCTGAGCTCCCGGCGGTCATTGTCGGAAACTTGCCCTAGCTGAATCTCAAAACCTGAAGCAGGTCGAAATCGGCAAGCTGAGGTAGTTTGGTGTTCGGGGTCCGAGGGTACATGCGAGTGGCATGTGAGATCAGTGCTGGTGCAGCACTCCTGAAGCTTGCTTGTGTCCCAGGGAAGGGATGACTTGACTATCTCTCTCAACACCTCAACATCCACCTTCACACCTTGCCGCACTCCTGAGCGTCGCACGTGTCGTCCGAGATGAACTAACCTTGCGCGACTAAGGCTCAAGGCTGTATCTGGTCTTTGAAGCTCCAGCCCTTCCCGCAACTCTGTCTGTGCAGCTGGGCGGCAAGGAAGGGGCGACCCCGCGAAGGATTGCAATCACGAGAGTTTGAAAGCTCGGCAGTTCCAACAGCTGCGGTAGCCGGGAAGCACAGATCAGAGCTCAGGTTTTGCCGGCAGAACCATGCAGTCAGGGCCCCGTACAAGCTTCTTGACTGAAACGAGTATACTTACGAGTGCGTGGACTCGATCGCTGCACACTTCCAAAAGCGGCCGAACAGTTCTGGAAGCTGAAAGGCTTCAACAACCTCCCCTACCGAACCCGTTGGAAAACTCAGGGGCACCCTTGTTTTTCGTGCTGTTCCCCCTCGCGAGAAGAGGTGCCCAGGTTGTCGCATCAGTGCGCCTCTGCAGCGGCCTGCACGAGTTCAGGCTCTAAAAACACGAAACTCACAGACATGTTCGGGGTTTTGGATTCAGGTGAGTAGGCTTTAGCTTATAGCTGTTTGAACTTGCGGATTATGTAAGCGTTAAACCCTGTGATCAAATTTTGCAGTAGGACTTGACCAGAAATCCGACTCCAGGATCACAAAATCTTTGAGGTAAGCGTGCTCCAGAACCTGCCAGCAACAGAGTGGCTGCCAACTACAGCGGTTATGTGATATGTGCCGCCTAGAAAAACAAAGGCCTCAATGTTTCACCTCGAGAAACTGGGCACTAAGTAATGAACTCAACGACCGGCTACGCGGCTATCCAATTGCAAAAAAGCAACAACCCAAACCTTTCTGCTAAACCACAAGAATGCACGACATCCCGTCCAGAAAACCAACCTCTCAGCGCCCCGGGGACGACTGCTTCCACCTGGGCGGCTTTGGACGTATTTTTGGGTTCAATTCTGGAGCTCTGCTGCAGCTCCAAAATGCGCACCCAAGACAAGCCCATCATGCAGGATATTGTAGTGACCGTAGTTACGATCGCTCGAGGTGAAGTTCAGCGACAAATCCTGGTTCCCGTCTCGCTAAGGTCAGGGCCCCTGGTACTTGTTCATCCGCTTCTTGAACGTTGTGATGCCGGGCTGCCGTTGCTGCGCAGGCGCGAGTCGTGTTGAAGCTGCCACGCTACTTGAATACTTGAATGGGCAGCGTGTTGTGGAATCCTCAAACTTATCACACTACATCGGCCATGTCAACGCCCTTGCCATGTGGTAGAGTTCCAGTCTTCGGGCACCACACCCTGGTTGCCTGGCACTGGCCCTTCCCCTGCTCCAAGATCCCCTAGTTGCAAAATGCATAAGGGAAGGTCGTGCACATGCATGAGCAGTCAACAATCGGGAAACGTTGGGAAGAAGACCACGCATGTGCGGCACGATCTGTCCGCTGATCAGACTAAGTTGGGCGAAGCATGCAACACATGCCCTTGATTCGGCGGTGGAGCCGGGACCCTGCTTGTATGATCGTTGGTGCAACTCTTGCTTCTTACTTCGCCGATTCGCGTCAGGGTCTAGATCATGAAGCTCTGACGCGAGAGTCTCTACAACAAAAACCCTGAGTCTAATCTCGTTGCGCCTTGTGCCTGCGAATGCGGCAGGTTCGCCAAAGCTTTCCGAAGCGGACGATCTGCGCGCAGATCATAGGAGGCTCGCCGGGGGCGGCTCTCTCCGTGTTCGGGGATCTTCGGTCTCGTGGTCTGTACTGTACTATGCTATACTATACTGTACGGTACTGTAGTATTTTATATTGGACGCAAGATCCAAATTTCTGGGGACGCCACGATCTTGCACTCCTTGCAACGAGGATAGATGGCGGTCCTGGCGACGCACGAACGGGGTGGGCGAGCAGGTCCGCTGTTTTTCGGAGCAGAGATGCTATGGAGTCGAGGGCTTCGAGGCTTTACCAGTTGCCGGTAAGGGCTAAGTTTATCAGTGTTCTGTCCGAGTTGTGTATCTTTGAAGTCAGTGCTCGAGGAATTGCAAGGAAGGTTGCATTGCTGAACAAACCTGGCAACTTTGCAACTGACAACGCGTCTTGGCCAGGTGTGCGCCTGTAGCGCATGTAAAGCTTGGTCAGGGGCTCGATCACCTGCTGTAGGCCGTCCTGACGCGCAGGAGGGTACCAACTTGCCCTCAGAGTGGAGCCTTTGTCTATCCGACACATTCCGACACCATCCGGGCCTCTAGAGGCACTCGCCGGAGCTTAAGGTAAGTTGAAATCTGGGCTCAGTTCCGCCTTCTTTGGAGCGGGCGCACCAGCGGCCGGAAGGAGCTGTGGATTCCTGGCCCAAAACCAACGGCTCAGACATCCCCCCGACGAGTGAGGGCTGCGCGCTGCAGGAACAAGGCCGAGGAACAGAGAGGGGCCCACGAGCTCATCTGCTGAGCTGAAAAAGTCTTCCACAGCCTCAGGGTTCTGTTCGCCACGGGCTCCCTACTCGGACATCGCATCTCAGGTCGAAGCTGTCAGGGCACCATCCACCCCGTCCTGCCAATCAGGACTTTTAAATTGTCAACTCCCACTGCTATGTCCTTTTGAAGCCCTGTCCTCCAGGCAGTCCTGAAGCCCATCCCACGGGGCCTCGCACGCGTGGGGCACAAAAATCCTGACAACCCGAACATCCTCTACCCCTAGTCCAAAAAGCACTCCAACGCCCGTCTGAGACACGCACCAGCTCTTCCTGGGGCGTGCATTCATGCTCATTGAAAGTAGAGTAAGTAGAGGTCTTCAGAAAAGAAGTCGTACGAATCGAATGCCGAGGTCCTTGGCCATCTTCGCATTGTGAGCTGCCGGGGGCCTCACAGCGTGCACTCAAGAGCTTCTTTCCTGGGGTACGAGCTTCAGTGCTTGGCCGGGTAGGATGCAAGTAAGACAACTATTCCCGAGAAGGAGGATGTTCAATAACTTCGTTTACATGGGCTCTCTGTCTCCTCACGACACTGCAGTCAGCAGGTCGAACAGAGCAGCTGTTGTGGGCTAAGGTTACCATGGACTCTGGGCTGCTAGCGGAACGAAGCTCGGCCGCACATAGCTCAGGGAGAATGCTGCGATGGCGACAATCGCAGCGACCTGAGCACCAGAAATGGTGCTTCTGGCCGGGCAGGAAAACTCCAACGGCTCCGATGAGGCCCACACCCCCAAACTATCGATCGATTTCTGCCGGCGCAGAACACTAATCACTGGGCGCTTTTGTTTGCAAGGCCTAGTGCTCCCTTCTCCCACCCCCATACTTAGAGGTTCATGGGACTTAGTAACTAGGGTTATATATAAGGTAACTAGACCCATCATTACTTATAACCCCAAGTCCCATGATCCTCCAAGTACATGTGACCCTGCGCCGTGGTGTTTGGGGCCAAGGCCAGGATGCCTCTCCCATTCCGCGCCCGAGTCTGCGCCTGGCACAGCCCCCCCCGTTTCCAGAATTTTGTAGAACTTAGAGCTTAGGGTTTAGGGTTTAGGGTTTAGGGACCCCCCCCCGTTTCCAGAATTTTGTAGAACCTAAAGGACAGAAGGTACGTGTCCGTGGGTCAGCCCAAGTGCCGCAGCTACATTGCGCAAAACACAAGGATCTGAGCTGTGTTACATATTGATTATTGATTATACATACTTTTGTTATAGACTATGTACTACATATTATGTATTACATGCTATAGGGTTTCACACGAAGCAGCGGCACCAAACGAAATTCGAAAGGTTCCCATGTCTCGCCACACCTCTCTGAAGCTCAGACCGACACCATCCGAACCCTGAAAATGGCCTCTAGACTCTAGAACCTTGCACTTTGCGAACTTCGCAGGTCTGCTTTGGGCCTTGAAAATATACGGCATACTAAATACTGCAGGATCACGCATAATCTGTGTTATATATATATATATGCAATATGCAACATATAATATTTATGCGCGAATGTCATTCTGATCTTCAAGATCAAAGATGTAACCTCTAACATCTCATACATCTACAGAAGAATTCGGCTCGCGCCTCCGGTACCAACATCCTCTCGGAGTGACGGAGCGGGCTTTCTTCTGGGATCTTCAGGCTTCCGGGCTGCGGTTCACCGGAAACTTTCCGAAGGCGGGGGGGTTTAGGGTTTAGGGTTCAGGGGTTTGGGGTCCCCAAAGCAGAGGTCCTACTCCGACCGGTGGGGATCTTGCATCCGAGGAGTTTGGAACTCAGGCTGTTAAATTGGGGCTTGGGGTTTTGGGTTTGGGGTTTTGATGGGTTACCTGTCACAATCTTCTGGTTCGAGACCTCCTGGATGCCAAAGCCTCTGCACTTCTGCACAACGCTACAATGACCTGTTTCGGGTCCCATTTCGGGTTTCGGGTCTTGCTGGCATCTGGCTAGCTCAGGCATCCCTCCCTGAAAACCGAAAAGAGCGCCCGTCCTCGACAGGGATGCGGTAGGTTCCCAGTTTTGGGGTCGCGCTCTCCCCGATGTCTGGGGCTCTGTGCTTGAGCCACAGCTGACAAGAAGAGATATAAACTCAGGAAATCTCCTCAGTGCTCTGAGCTCGGACTTTTGGCAAAGTGCTTCGACCAACTTGCACAGGTTTGTACCATGGAGGGAGAGTGCCAGAAGGAAACCTCCAAGTGCAGACGGCTCAAGAGACAGACTTGGAGCAGAGCCTATTCTGCCACTTCGGCCTCTGGGCAGAGATCTTGAAAGACATTAGCTGTCCTCTCGCCGATGAAAGAGCAAACAACGTGAAAGCTGAGTCCAGTTGGCTAAGGAATTCGCCACATGCCCATTTGAGAGCTTCGGCTTCAGGGTCTTAGGGGGTTCATGGACTTTTTGGGTTGCGGGTTTGGGAGACTCCGGATTGCGCTCCTTTTTCGGTCACTCGGGCAGGCTCAAGCTTGGCTGAGTCTGCGGCGTGGAGGGACCTGTCTCGCAGCAGCGTCGTCTCGGAATCGGTCTTCAGGATTTTCGGGTTTAGGGTTTAGGACCAAACAATATTACGAGTAGTGTTTGAGTCTTCCTGTCACAATGTCGTTTACAGCCAGGGGTGTCTGCTGGCTTGGTAACTTGTCTGGCTTGCGCGTTGCAGGATGAAGATGCGGCAAACCGACAGTGCAAGCAGAATGCAGGCAAGTTCGCAAACCGGGTCATCTCTGAACTGTGCAAAGAGTCATCCGGAGCGATCCAACAATTCCAATTTCGTAGATTCCTGCAGCAGTCAATTCTCAGCTCTGGTGGCTGGAGATATTGCTATCACCGCAGATCCTCAAAGTTCAGACTCGGAAGCCGTACGAATGTACTAGACTGCTTTCGAAGATAGACAAGCTAGTTACAGGGAACACCAATGTAGATACAAAGGGCTGTCGCAACATTCGCGAGAGGCCCAGGTGTGAGTGAACCTTCAAAGATTTCTTGAAGACACCCTGGCTGGTCTTCATACAAACGGAAACAACGAAAGATTGCCCACATACCAGAAGAACCCGCCAAAGCAGCAAAAGGAATAACGACCAGTGACCTTTCCGCTCTTGGTGCAGTGTAAGAGAATGGTTGAACGGCTTCCATCAAAGCAACCCAAGAAGAACTAAGACATGCACCTGATGGAGCATTTGGGCCATGAGCTTCCACGGCCTTTCCAGGTCATTTCACCGCCCCTTTGTTTCGGAACTTCGAGGTTCAGGGTTCAGCAATTGCGAGTTCAAGGCATGGGGCTTTGTGGCTTTGGGGCATAGGAAGTGAAGCCCAAGCCCGCAAAATCAGTGCAAACCCCTGGTTTCTACACTTCCACCCCCCTCTTTAAAAAAGGGAGTTAATTGGGCTTAGAATATTCGTAATGCGTGATGAGGACTATATATTTAATTTCGGCCCTTGAAGACTCCTTCATTATTATTATCATTATTACCCATATGAACCTTAATAACATCATGATTATTTGAATTATTTGCAATATCTCCACTATTTGGACTATTTTGTATAATATTCTTAGTGCAGAAATCTGCACTAAGAAGGCCCGAAGTCCCCCCGGCGACCGCCTCGAGAAGCCGCAGCATGGCAGCTTCTGCCCTGCCAAGCTCCTGGGGCCATTTCCCTAAACCCTGAACCCTGTGAATAACCCTAAACCTTATTTAGAGTTTAGGGTTTAGGGTTTAGGGTTTAGGGTAGACCCTCTTAATAACCCTAAACCCTCTTTAGGGTTTAGGGTTTAGGGTTGACCCTCTTAATAACCCTAAACCCCAGACCCTCATAGGGTCCAGGGCTGTTCTTTTGAGGCCCTGTTGTGGGGTCCGCCTGTGAGGGTTCAGGGTCAACCGGTTTGGGGGATTGCGGATTTGGGGTTCAGGGGCAGCACCTTCACCTTCTTGGATCAGGGGGTTGGGGAGGCTTTAGGGTTTAGGGTTCAGGATTTAGGGTTTGGGGCCTAAGTTTAGGGTATAGGGTTCCGGTGTGGTGGTTTTACGGATTTGGGGGTAAAGGGTTTAGGGTTCGCTGATAATCAAAGAGACAACAGAGGGCAGGGAGGCGATCAAGCTCTCACCAATCCCTCCCAAGAAGATCCTGGCACCGGCGCTGGCTTTGGACACGGAGGCGCTCGCTCTGCGGGCCAGGCAAGAGATGCTCACAACATTGACTTCAATGCTGTGTCACTCAGGCACTGCGGCAAAACTATGCAGCTGAGTCAGGCAGCGCAGTCTCATAACAAACTGGTGTTTTTTCGTGCTGGCGCTGGTGTCGATTCCGCTCGTCGTGGCGTTGAGGGCATTGCTGTGGCTCTGGTGCTGCTGGCGGTGCTGCTGGCGGTGCTGCTGGCAGTGCTGCTGGCGGTGCTGCTGGTTCTGCTGGTTCTGCTGGCTGCTGGTTCTGCTGGGGTAGCTGTGGCTGCTGGTGCTGATTGAGACGATGACTATGACGACACCACGACGACTGCGACTACGACTTGGACGACTGAACACGATGAGGACCACCACCACCAGCATCACCACCACTACCATCAACACCACCACCACCACCACCACCACCACCACAACAAGCAGCTCTTTGGTCCAGGGCTCACAGCCGAAAGATGTGCGAGTTGAGGCAACTCGACTCTACTTACGATGCTAAGCTATCCATGTGTCGAGGAAACGCCTCTCCCACGGATGCTTCCTGAACAGTTTGCAAGCGCAATGGCTCAGACGATTCGAGTGCATTCGAAATGAACCAGCACTCCACAGCTCGACAAGGAGCAGCTGCCGTGCGGACACTTTGGCCCATCGTGAGGACGACAGCCCCTCGGGGGCTCCTCGATGCCAACCTGTGCCAATGTCACTCTCTCTGCCGCGGCCGAAACTTTCTCGCGGCTTCGCGGAGCAGACCTGGCTCCACTGCAGCGACAGCAAGGAGATCAACAGCAGCTTTAGGCAAGGACAGGGACAATAGCAACTACAGAAACTCAACACTGCCAGCAACAGTCGGGGGAGGAGCAGAGAAAAAGGCGGCCACTGAAGCAACAGCACCTGCATCTGCGACACGGCTTGCAATCGCACTGCTACGGACATTCTCATGCTAGCTCCACCACCAAGAAGAGCGATAGAGAACGCGAAGAAGAATATGGCTGCTTGACAATTTCCGCCAATACTAATGACAACCAGAACCATACATGAGAAGTCACAATCCAATACCAGTCATGCGTAGGACCACAGTAACAGCATCAACACATACAGGAAGAACAGTCGCGTGCCAAGCCTCTTGTGATTTAGACTCAATGCCACTTCGAGGCACAAGCTTCAAGCCCCAAATCCTATGCGAACTGAGATGTGGACCACCTCTTCCCCGACCAAGCACCAGAGCAAACCCTTGGTCCTAAATGAAAATCCTGACCCTAGCCCTGAGCTCTGTTTCGTGTCTCCCAAGTGTCGAACTGCATGAAAACCAGACGGGCAACCGAAGAATGGATCTGCCGGCGCAGCCTCTGCTTCGAAGGGCGACTTATTCAGAGACCCTTTCTCTGATCGGGAGGGTGTGTAATCCACCCGGAAGGGGTATCATTGCAACAGGAGCTGAAGTGAAAGGAATGACCTACAGTTCAGGATATGTGCCTTAGAAGCACCACCTGCTTAAACGCAAGAGCACCTCAAACACCTTGGAACAAAACTCCAGACTCAGTTCCGGCTGGGACACAGCTTTCGCCGGCTGCGGGATTGGCACCTGGACGAGCTCCGAGATGCCTGGACGAAAGCTGGGCTTCAAAGCGCAGAAGAAAGCCACATACAACATTGTACAATGCTTGTGAGTGCAGGGTCATCGCCATCATCATCAACAACATCATCACCACCACCACCACCAGCATCATCATCATCATCAACATCATCATCACCACCATCACCATCACCACCATATCCCACCATCATCATCACCATCATCATCATCATCATCAGCGTCGTCGTCGTCGTGATCGTCATCATTCTCATCATCACCGTCATCATAATCATCATCAGCAGCATCATCATCATCGCGACAGCCTTGACGATGACTGTGATGGGCATGAGAATGGTGCTGCGGATGATGGTGGCGGTGGTGGTGGCAGTCATGATGACCGTAAGTATACTTGTGGGTTTTCGGCAATGATGAAGAAGATGGGGATGCTGATCTTCTTCTTGCCTAGTCTGCTTGACAAGCCCGTGTGGAAGATGCTGAAGATGATAATGATGATGATGATGATGATGCTGATGCTGACGCTGATGATGATGATGATGATGATGAGAATGAAGATGAGGGTTATGATGATGATGATGATGATGATGGTGCTGCCGCTGACGATGATGATGATGGCGGTGATCATGATGATGTTGATGATGATGATGATGATGATGATGATGATGCTGAGGGTGGTGGTTTTGATGATCATGATGATGATTATGATGATGATGATGATGGTCATGATCATGATGATGATGATGATGATGATGAGGTTTATAGCACTGAAGAAGATGATGATAAGGAGGAGTGCGACGATGGTGACGGTGCTAGCGGCGGTCATTTCGGCACTATTGAGGTTGAAAACAACGACCCCACCTTTTGACGTCCTACAACAGATTCTAACGAAGGAGTTCGAGCAGCTTGTTGCAGCGACCTAGCAGTAGTGATAGTAGTAGCGGTAGTCGTCGTCACCACCGCCGTCGTCATCTACTAGTAGCTGCGGCAGTAGTAACACTCATAAGTACAAGTAGAACCATCACTGAAGCAGTATAGATAAAAGTAGTTCAAAACAATAGACAAGGCATCCAAGAAATCCTTCAGATCCACTGTGTGGGAAAACTGGGCCCCCACAGCGTCCCTTTCTGAAGTAGAAGTTGTTGTTGCTGTTGTCGTTGTGGTTGTTGTAGTTGTTGTAAGAATTGTTGTTGTAGCCGAACAACAACAAACTGTCCGAAATCTCTTTCAGCACCTTCTCCCTGTGTTCGCCCCCTGCGGCCGAGAAGGTTGGACAAGTCCGTAGCACGGAGACGAAACACCTGGCTGATGAAAATCGCAAGGCACGTGCCGGCGAGCTTGGGTCGGTGGGCAGAGCAGAGGATAGTGCAGATATTCTAGGGAAGACATATTAAAACGTTCCTGCGACAAGCTTCCAGCCGTGCCTGTCTCATGATGTTTAGACCGAAACGTCTTCTCTGTTCATGTGGCTTAGCACCGACAAGTGACGCTCAGCACACCTGCCGGTTCAGAGGCCCACCTCTCTTTGTGCGCAACTCTGTTGACACCCGCTGCCAAGAGAACTGCCGGCCGCAAGTGTGGTTTCGGTGGCGCGTCACAGTGTTGAGCAAGAACAAGCCACAGGCTTACATGCGTGCGCCACACAACTACCCACAAAGGACATTTTACCACATACGCTGCACAAGCAGCGCCATGCGCTCGGAGTTTACCACCAAGACTGTGCGCAGCCTACACATGCCAGTTGAGAAGCCCTCTGAGAAGCCCAGCAGGCCTGCACTTGTCTCACGATATTGACAACGACATGCTTGGATTCAGACAGACCAAGACTGTCCGGATGGAAGGACGGCATTGTCGCCAAAGCAAGATCGGGCTCCTTTTCTGTGTGTGCAGCTTAACACCGGCAAGTGACGCTCGTCGCACTTGCCGGTTCAGAGGCCCACATCTCTCTTTGTGCGCAACTCTGTTGACACCCGCTGCCAAGAGAACTGCCGGCCGCAAGTGTGGTTTCGGTGGCGCGTCACAGTGTTGAGCAAGAACAAACCACAGTCTGGTTCATGTGCAGCACGACTGCCCGCGAAGGACCTTCAAGAGACTGCCATGCCATGTGCGCTGAGTTTAACACTAGGACATGGCACAGCCTGCACATGCCAGTTCAGAGGCCCAGCAGCTGACATTCTGCGTCGCAATAATGACACCGGCGACCCACATGGGGATTGCAGATGTGGTTTCAGCGACATGCTCTGCTTCGCAGCAGACATTCGCGAGTGAGCAGAAAAATCTCGCTTTGAGGTGTATTCAGAAAATAGAACGATGCTTGTTCCAGACAGGAGTATGAGAGTCTGCTTATCTTTACTTGTGTGCAGGTTTCCTAGATCGAATCTGAAACCATGAAGAGGTCAGGCTGCATCCCAGCCAAGATCCGGGCTAGCCATCCCGCATCTGCCAAGAGCGGCCCACGCCTCAGCCGTCAACGTTTCAAGCTGCAAGGGCTAATAAAATCCTCCAGAATCTCTTTCTTTCTAGCTCCTCAGAATCAGTGCAATTATCTACCTTCAGGGTTTAGGCATGTTTACGAAGTGCCGTGGCGCTTCGAGCAAGGGTGGCACTCTGGGTCGATTAGCCGTCTGGGCGAGTTTGGAGTTTGAACGGACAATGCCAAAAGTCAAAGGGGCTTTGGAACTCACAACGAAGCTACAGCTATTCATATCCCTGCATTTGTTGCCTTATAAGGCTCTGGAACCTCATAAAGCCCTTGCAAAGTCCTTGAAACCTTTAGCAAGCCTTTGTGAAACCCTAATGAAACCCTGAGTCCAGTGAGCAAAGCATGCAGTACGAGTCCTGGCGAACCTGGTGACTCAGCTCGGTGCAAGACGGCGTCCGGCTGCAGCTCCTCCGAACCACCTCCGGTTAAGGGTTTCGGATCTAGGGGTTACGGATTCGGGAACCAAATGAGGGTTTTGGGTTTTGGGTGTAGGCCTTAATTAGGGTTTAGGGTTTAGGGGACTGGGAAGGCTACCGAAAGCAGAGCCACTTCTCAGAACTGATCGCTCACGAAATCTGGGACACTTGCTAACCGGCGTGAACAACCCAGAGCGAGCATGACACGCCTGACCTGCCAAGTCGAGTCATACTGAAATATTACAGACATACGTGCATACATACATCCATCCATCCGTACACACGCACGGACGTACGTACGTACATACATACCCGCTTACACATACATACACATACATACCAATGGTTCAAGCCGTACATAGCGAGAACCATTCCAGAGGCGAACCTCATGAGTCCAAAGTGCACGACACACTGTAGCAGTAGCACCATTGTCACCCAAGAACACGCACCGCACTGCGACAGGGACGCGAGTCGAAGCCCAAAATCTGCATGAGACCGTCGCCGGA